GCCCCCCTACTAGACTCCATTCATTATAAACATGAACAGATCTGATGTCAGCTGTTGTTACTGCACTGTTTATCTCTTAGAAACACAGATGATGGTATCTTTCAAACAGCAGATACAATGGCAGCCTGCAGGGACAGATTTTCCTAAATTCTGTTTTCAGCTGGTGTTCCTGAACTTTTTCACATTGCGTCTTTAAAACAGTGCTGATGCAGAGCTTTACAGCTTTTGGTAGAGTTTTAATGAAGTCTGTATACCTGCAGCGCACAGAGCCAGTCAGACATGCAGCCCCTAATCAGAGGATTTCCTCCAGACTCATTAAAGCAGAGTACCAACTGCGTCCGCAGAGCAGAGCAGGACTAAATTAGATAAGAAACTCTTGATTGCAATTTGGGTTCTCATTATCCAAGTAAACAATTGCAAATTCATGCGCAATCTGATGCCATGCCAAAAATGTCTTCTGTTCCATTTTGGTACAATCCAACTCTTCGCGTAATTACTCTGAGGTATGGAGGTTATGAAGTCACAGGCTGAAAAAGCAGTTCATTGTTCGGTGCTGAATGTTATGCAGTGAACTTGTAACTCTGCATTACTGCAACAGAGAGCAAGCTGTAAAAAGGAGCCTGGGTTGAAAACAGGGATGTACCTATCCAACACTTCCACTCACAACACCAATTCTGAGTTTTGAACTATATCATCTGATAACAGTACTCTGTTCAGGCAGTACATATACATACATACATATATATATATATATATACATATATACATATATATATATATATATATATATACATACATATATATATATACACCTATCAGCCATAACATTAAAACCACCTCGTTTTTACACTCACTATCCATTTTATCAGTTCTGTCTAGCATATAGGTGCACTTTGTAGTTCTACAATTACAGACTGTAGTCCATCTGTTTCTCTGCATACTTTATTAGCCACCGTTTACCCTGTTCTTCAATAGTCAGGACCCCACAGAATGATATTTTTGGTGGTGGATCATTCTCAGCACTGCACTGCCACTGATGTGGTGGTGGAGTGTTAGTGTGTGTTGTGCTGGGACGAGTGGATCAGACACAGTGGTGCTGGATTTTTTTTTTTTTTTACCCAATTTTCTCCCCAATTTAGTTGTCTCCAATTCCACCCGCTAGTTAGGATACTATCAACGCTAGGCGGGCGAAGGCTAACACAGGCTTCCTCTGAGACCTGTGAAGCCAGTCACCGCTTCTTTTCGAACTGCCGCTAACGCAGCATCATTGGACAGCCGAACGCGCTCGGAGGAAAGCGCCAACCGCCAGTCCTGCTACATGAGCTAACAACATAACCTGTGCAGCAACAGATGAGCTATCGTCTCTGACTTTACATCTACAAGGAGGACCAACAGGATGGGAGTGTCTGATAGAAAACACTGACGAACAAAAACATAACAATGACATAAAATTCTTAATACTGTCAAAGGGATGAGGCTGAGAGGCACTACTGTGCTACAAAACTGCATAACATGACAATTTGAATTTTATGCCCCTTTAAATGAGAAAAAAAAACACTATATATACAAAAGTTGCTTGTTAAAATACTCAACCCTACCTCGAATGGTTTAAATTCTTCCATTCCGAGCACACAAACACAAACACTGACCCACTGAGAATTTGGCTCAAAAAACATAAGACAAGCCTGCAAGAGGGCGATAAACTTTGGGGTCAGCCAGCTTTACACCCGTTTCCATTCGAATGGAATTAGAAACCTCCGTTTCCATCTGGTGCTGGCATCTCATGAGTGTTCCACTGCTGTTATCGGCCTGGTGGGCTGTTTTGCTAGTAACACAGCAGCCTGTGTCTGTGGGTGTTTTCAGTTTGGCATTTTGACTTTGCCTCTGCTTGGCTAGTGTGTTGCCAGCAGGCCTGTACTGCTATCCACAAGACAGACAGGTTTACCATAACTGTGTGGGCTGGCAGAGGATTGGTCATTACAGAGGAAGGGTGTGTGGTTCACTGCACTCAGGTCTAAATGACTCATTATAGCTCACTTGGTATTTTCAGGTTAGGAGATAATGCAATGACTGCAATGAAAGGAACAAGGTCCAATGTGCGGCCAGACTCCTGGAAAAGGCATCCTGGAAGTGGGCACTTAGAGTTGAACATAAACAGCCAAGACCGAATAAGCACATAACTATTAAAGGCAAGCTGATATCATTGGCAAAACATTAAAAAACGTCAGAATGCTGATTTCAAAGTAAGAGTAATTGACCCTTGATTCAAAAAAGGAAACAAAATGCTGTACTGGTATACTATATACCACCTAACAGAATATATAACATCAATAATTTAAGAACGCTAACTGCAAAGTAAGAGCAATTGCACTCACATTACCAGCATATTAAACAGCCAAACATACATGCAACTAGAAATGATAAGCTAATGTCATTAGCTTCAAAAAACAAAACAAAAACTGACAATCACTTGGACAAGACTTCAACATTAGCGCTCTAAGTGGCCTACATGAACTGTCTGAAGATAAGGAGCTTCAAAGCTAATATCCAAACAATACGAGTATTTAAAAACCATAGACTACATTTCAAAAGACATCTTTCCAACTTAAACGAGCAACTTATTAAGTTAACTTCCAAGTTAAAAGACCTTAGACCAAAGCTACACTATGTACATTTTGAGGATTTGGAGACCTCTCTGGTCGATATGTGTAATTACACCCACAGACTGGGCCACGGACCTCCTCCCCAAGCAGAGGAATTGGAAGATTGCGAGCGCGTTGAAAGAGTATTCAAAGAGAACTCTTGAGAAAAGAGAAGAAAACTTGGTGAAGGACGTGTCTTCTGTTTAATGTTGATTGTGCACTTGAGACCTAAACATCAAGCCGAACCTTCTTTTTGAGCCTGTGCGTGTGACATTACTACATAAAGACGTATGACATGGTCCTAATAACTCTAGGATTCCACTGACGACCGTTTCATTTGGCACTTCGACTCAACTCGACTATCACTGTTCGCACAACGTTCATCCACTTCCTATAACTGTTGCTTCAAATTAAAAGCCCTCTGAAGAGTTTTGTAATTACAACTTAATGACTTTTCATAAAATTCTGAAGCAGTGGCAGCAATAATAGCGGAAAAATTGACTCTGGCAAAATCCAACCCGATGCTTCCGACTTTTAAATTATTATTTCAGGCTTTACAGAAGCACATGGACACCACAATTTAATATTACTAGCACAATATGAAAAACACCCAAATCTAACAATCACTTAAAGTACCTTTCCTACAAAAACATCTCAATGTTAGTCCTGTAACTGGCCTGCATGAACTGTTTGAAGATAAATAACTTGAAAAAGCTCATTTCAAAGTTATAAAAGTCATGGCACTACATTTAAAACAGAAGAATAATTGCTATATTACATTCCAACCAAATGACTATTGATTAATAAGCCCAAAGTAGTGCAAGGAAAAGCTGCATCCACAGCTGCTCAAATGTTCCAATCAATTCAACTCTAGCACTGTCCAGTAATGGATTTGCAACCCAGGTCTAAGATATGGAAGTAAAGGAAACAGTGAATACTAAAAACTGGAATAACTGTTACAGTTACACAACACCTCTCAAAGCTCTATTTCTATAACTATGTCAAATTTTAATTTCTCAGCCTGCACTACTGATCAGTAATCTTACTGGGGAAGTTCCTATACATAATGTGTGAAAGAAACTTCAAGTTCTCCAGATCTGAGGAGGCTGATATCCTCACCTCGCTCACAGAGGCTTGAAAGTGTCAAATAATGCTAACTAAATGTTTAACACTGACTGATACAGGTAGTCAGGGACATGAAGTTATTGAAGACAAATGATAAAGTTATTATTTTATTCACTTTTGCAAGTACTTCTGCAATTTCACTCACTGATGTCCAGATCGTTTCTGATCTTGCCTAAGCACAAACCTGAAGAAAGTTTTCGATCAAACCACGACCAGTTTTTTAAAATTTCTTGATTTTGTTTTTTTTTTTTTAAATAAAAGTATGAAAATGAAAAACAAATTTAAAAAAATCAAAAGGTACACAATCAAAAGACGGGACTTCAATGGTTCTTTGGTAAAGGCAATGTTATGTTTAGAGTTCTATATAGGACCATTTCATGCTTAAATGATTCTCTGCATGGTGAAATAGTTCTTCAGAGTGATGGAGAATGAGGTGTGTATGGTTCTTCACAGAACCTTTAAAAATGGTTCAACACCAAAAAGAGCTCTGTTATTCTTACGATAGAGCTATACAGAACCATATACAACATATTCTACTTCTGTCTGAAGAACCATTTCACCATGCAAAGAACCATTTAAGCCTTAAATGGTTCTAAATTGAACTCGTGGTTCTAAATAGAACCATTGCCTTTACTAAAGAATCATTGAAGATGATTATTTTTGGTGTGTGTTACTACTAAAATTCCATCATTTCAGACCAATCAGAATACATTTTATGGTATTTTTCCTCATTATACTAAATGTAGTTGCTGGACATGAATGGGTTTCAAGGGCAACTGAAACTGGAATTAATAAGAGTTTCTTAAAGTGTCCTCTAATGTCTGACAGCCCTAAATACAAGCTAAAAGAGTTCAACACTGACAGCTGCCATCAGTCAGTGTCTCTCTCATAGGATGTGTAGCTATGTGTCTAAACTCCAGCAGGCCAAACTGGTTGTGTTGCGCTGCACCGACACCCTCACTGCCTTCTGCTCAGGATGCAGAACGAGCATAACGACTACCAGCACTGCATGCACAGCATTCATGAGGCTGAAGTTGCTTCCTATTCGCCAGCTCCTTATTCGAATGTTCCGTTTCACCTTAAATGGCATAGAAACTGCTGCACCACTTAAGGTGGAACGGAATTTTCGGATAAGAAGCCAAGTTCACCTTCGGAAACACTGCAAACACAATGTGAACATGTTGTCACAGCTTCACAGGGGCTACACACGTCTGTCATGCACCTCCAACTCACCTCTACTGTGTGTTTTCATCCTGGAGTGAGACGGTGAAGCAGAAACGGAGGAGAAACAGCCGAGCAGGGAAAACGGTGGGAAGGGAAAGAAGAAGGCGACCAGCTACGGAAACCTCACAAACGCAGAAACCGCCGATTAAAATCCGCACTGAATGATTCGCCGATAATCCAGAAGCTCGAGCAGCTCCAAAAACCTGCGACCACCAAATGCTCTCCTGCTCTAACTGAGAGTGAAACTTTCCTTCTCTCTCTCTCTCTCTCTCTCTCTCGCTCTCTCTCTCTCTCTCTCTCTCTCTCTTTCTCTCCCACCACCGGCCCCCCCCCCTGACGTCAGCAATAGCAGCTGGGCAGCGTTTTTGTCGGTTCTGCCGCCCTCTGCCGGCTAGAATACAGATTTATTCATTCGTTCATTAAAGGGGAATTCCACGGCTTATTCTTTTTTCTTCTGAATAATTCAACGTTTGCGATGTAAACAAAGTCATTCATAGTGGTTTGCATCTGCATTGTAGAGAAACATCCCAGGCAGCAACTGTGGCATATTCAGAAATACATTTTGGGGTGGGCCTGAGAAAAAGTGGGCACGCTAACTAGTTAGACAAGCCTGCTGATGTCCCGCAGTGTCATAACATCAGACGTTAGCCTATTCTCGATAGCCGTCCGTATTTGACCAGTGAAGACAACATAACTAGGTTAAATTCAGAGGGCTGAGATTTATAATGAGAGGAAAAAAAACACACAGCAATCTTATAACTTTAAACCCAATGTTACTCATCCTAGGCTAAAGCATACTGCCATGGCAGGCAGACCCAAAGAAGAAATGATTGAGATAAAATCAGACAGCTAATATGTGCCGAGAGGAGGAAAAACAACACAGCAAAATTAAAAACTAAAACCTAATCATAGTAAGCAAGAGCATTCTGTCGTGGTGGGCATTAAACATGTTTATGGCCCATTTAAGTCTTACTTTTGATGACTTAATGCATTGAAGTAACGTTAGACGTTTGCTTTTGTTGTAAAACAGCATTGCAAGTATCAAATGCACAGAAAACTGGCAATGTTTTTTAAATTTGTTACTAAACATACTCTACGGGATGGAATCTCAATTTTAAATGCCCCCAGTTAGCTACATCTTTTAACTGTAGCTGGAGCTTTAAATTAAACTGCCACAATGATAATGAACTAAAGGCTTGAGGCAATATCGGATAACAATGGTGCTAAGCAGTGATTGGAAGCTTGAGAAAAGAAGGCAGAGCTTGGCAGAAAGTGCAATGATTTGATTGGCCATAATACAATGAATGATTTCAAAGAAAATAAATGAAATATCATTATAAAAAATCAACGAAATAACCTTTCTTCCCTATTTGATTGGCTAGGTCTGTAATCATGCCATTGGATAGCAAGCATATATTGGCCTGCCAAACTGACTGCAAAGTTTAACTAGTTTTGTTTTTTAATCTCTTCAGACATTTTTAAATGCACATAGACTTTTATTTTAAAAAATAAACAAAGGCAAACTTTTTAAACACTTAAGAAAAAAATGTGCAAGTAATTAAGTCATGCAGAAATTTTGAAAAATTAGTTGAATTCCTCTTTTATTCCTCCATTTTTTCATCCATTCATCATTCTTTCTTTCTTTCTTTCTTTCTTTCTTTCTTTCTTTCTTCCAATCATTCTTTAATTCTTTTATTTGTTTATTCAACTGTTCAGTTTTCTGAAAACAGTTTGATGGCATTTAAGTGATGCTGTGTTGTTGTATTATTGTTATTCTCATTGTTATTATCATTACTTTTATTATAATTATTATCGTCATTATTATGATTATTCGTACTATGAAGAATAATCACAGAAAATAAAACATTTTTGCCTAATTCAATCAGTTTCAGTTTTGCTTTCTTCATTTCGTACTGATATGACTAGCATCAGCAATACTCACGCTAAAATTTTCCATGAAGTGTTGCTGTGTTCGAGCAGGCAAAACAGAAGAAACACAAAAATGTACTGGGCTTGAGATTCACGGACTTTATCCAACATGAAATGTGGACTTTTATTTTGAAATGAGCTCATCTGCCCATCTTAAACAGCCTGGTTCATCAGGAACTGACAGCCAAGTGCAGCGCATTACGGTTCAGTGAAGCGTCCCGGTTCTCCGTCCGCGATGCTCCGGTTGAAGGCGGTCTCTCGGCATCTCTCTGCGGGGATAACCGAGCCCTCCGTCCGCATGAAGCCCTGCGGCGCTTCGGCTGGGCCGAATGATGTTGTTGTGGTTCACGGATTACGGACTGCAATCGGGAGAGCCAAAAGAGGCTCGTTCAAGGTGCAGTTGGCTGCCTGTCTGTCTGTCTGTCCGTTTGTCTGTGTTGTCATTTTTCATATAATTTATAATTTTAGGGTTTTTGCCTCATTTATTTACACATTAAATAGCCCTGTAGTGGCGCTACGCCGCCTGCAGGTCTCTGTTTAGTCATTTAAACTGTTTTTTTAGTGTAGAATACTGTAAACTTCTTTAGCTTAAGGGGAAAAAGTCAGATAAACCGTGACAGTCTAGTTTGCATGTCCTTGTATGGAAATCCTGTTTAAAAAGGTGGTTGAACTTTCACACACTGACTATCCATGACCTGTGTAGCCATTTTTTTGCTGTCCTGCATAATTAGCTTGTGAATTTAAGTGGGTGTTTCTTTTGTAATATACTCGTAGGCTGTCAAAGAGAGTTCTTGAAATATACACTTAAAAAGATGGCTCTTCAAGGGTTCTTTTGTAAAGGGAATGGTTCTGGTTAGAACCGTAAGTTCTATATAGAACCACTCCATGCTTAAAATTTGTTTTCTTTGTTTGCCTTTGTTTCTTTTTTCTTTTAACATTTAATTATGTTCTGTTTTTCTTTGAATGTGTTGTATATGGTTCTATATAGCACCAATAAGGATTCTTCTTTTGTTACAATGTCATGCTTGAAATGACAGAAGAACCCTTTTTGGTGCTACATAGAACCTTTTTGGGGAAAAAAAAACAAAAAAAAACATACACAACACATTCTTCTTCAGTCTAAAAAAACATTTCACCACGCAAAAAAACATTTAAGCATGACATGGTTCTATACACATCTCATAACGCCATTCCCTTTACTAAAGAACCCTAAAAGAACCATTTTTTAACAATAGAGGAGCTTTTTTTAGTGCTATATGGAACCATTTTCAAGAAGAGTTTGCATAGAACCATATACAACACATTCTCCGTCAGTCTGAAGAACAATTTCACCCTGCAAAGAACAATTTAAGCATGAAATGATTATATATAGAACTCATGGTTCTAACCATTGCATTTACTAAAGAACACTTGAAGAACCATCTTTTTAAGTGTGTAGGTTAAGCATAAAACTGTATTTGATAATTGCACCTGCAGTCCAAAATGTCCATTCACAATGGAGCAAAGGTCAGAACTGTGCAATGGGTCATTCAGCATCCTGCCAAGTGTCGCCATCTGACCTTTAGCTTTTGTGGTTCTTGTGTTCTGCAGGACACAACCCCAGATGAGCTGCTGAGTGCAGTGATGAGTGCAGTCCTGAAGGATGTGGATCTGTCACCAGATAAACTGGGAGATGTTTGTGTCGGTAAGTCACAGCCACCTCAAATGTCCCACCAGTATGAAATAAATACTGAAAATCAATCTGAACATTAAGGTGTAATGATACAGATATTTAATAATATGATACGTATTGTGATTTCAGCACCACAATACAATGTATTTGATAATAAAACAACATGGCAGCCCTCATTTCAAACTGAATCCCAAAATACAAGACCACAGCGCCTATTGAAAACATAAATAACACAAAAACCCTTTTAGGACTTAAAACGTAAGATAATTTGCAGTTTAAGTATATGCACACATAGTGTAAATGGTGCCACATGCCACGCAGGGGTGTTCTAACTTTCACGGTTGTTTCTTTTAGAATCATTTATAACAGTAATTAATATTAATTTAGAGATGCTCCACACATGGGAATTCTAGGCCAATGGTAATATCTGATATTTTTCATGTACATATCTGTTAAAGCGGATGCTGATATATAAACAATAATAAAATGTAGAAACTGAGACAAGATTCATCTGGATTATCATTATAGAGAAATTCAACATTTACTTCTTTAGGGTTGCGAATTCAGCGAAATAATAAAAATGCAGATGTTTTTAGCACAGCAGTCCAGCGTCACATAAACATTCTGCTCTTCCAGAGTCCGATAAATACATCAGTAAATATCAATTTGAAAGATCAGTCAAATCTAACTGTCTAATGATAATCGCTTTTTTAGCAACTATCTGCCGATACCGATACCAATTCTGATTTTGTTTTGCATCGCTAATTCATTAGATTTACAGTGCTTGTTGTCACACACCCAGCACGTATATATAGATATAAATATGCATATTATCACTGTTGAACCAAAACCCTGTATCTCTGTTTTGATATTTGTATACATTTGTATCATTTTTATTATAATAAAACATTAGAAATAGATATATATATGTATATTTTACCATAATTTTAAAATGAGAGCTGCATGATGAATGGACCAAAAGAAACAGTCCAAAATTACTCAGAATAAAATCTCATTCTATTAACTTAAACTGAAAGTTAAGAATGTTTTTTCCTTCTCCTGTAAAGTTACTTTAGCAAAAACCTCTAAGAGAAGTAAACTTCTCACAGGTTTACTTTTTCTCTTTGTGCTGTTATCCTGCAGGTAACGTATTACAGCCAGGAGGAGGAGCCCTGGTGGCAAGAATTGCCCAGTTTCTCAGGTCTGATGATTTTCAGTGTTTTTGACTCATTCATTGATGAATTCATACTACATGGTAAATAACTAGTAATTACATTAACAATACCAGCTTTAACACCTATACATTAAAATCTCTGCCTTTCAGTGGCTTTCCAGAAACAGTGCCCGTCTACACAGTAAACAGACAGTGCTCGTCTGGACTGCAGGCACTTTTGAACGTAGCAGGTAAGAGCTCAGGTTCAAAGGCCAAAAGTAAATCAACAGTCATGTCTATGTGAGATTTCTATTATGAAGGTAGGCTTTCTCTGCTTTTTTTAAAGGTGGAATCAGGAATGGCTCCTATGATATGGGCCTTGCATGTGGGTTAGTATCTCTTTTATTTGGTTATTTCTAGTTGTTTTAGGTGTGATAATGAATAATTTACTAAATAATTGGTGTAATACCGAATAATGTAGTGTTGACTGCACTTATAAGCCAAATTCAATAGCCAACAGGTATGAACCTCATTGAACTACAGTATTGTATTACTGTTTACATTTAACATGTAAGTGAATTTAAATGATTACTGCATTAAAGCTCCCAAATAAACTTGGTACAGCTTACATATTGACCACAGATGTGCCTTTATACAAAATTGGATTTATTTATGGATGTGTGGGTAATCTTAAAGGGCCAAAATAACAGAAAACAGATTTTTTTCAAATGTTTTTAATATAAGAGTTTGACGTATTATGTAAACACTGTTAAAGTTTCAAAATATACCATTCACTCCACAGTTGACACGGCTTATATATTGAAACTGAGTTACAAAAACAGCCCGTTTTGAATTAATTGGTTTTGTGATGTCACGCTATTTACCAACAATCGCCTGTTCAGCCTACAGCAGTCTGGCTCTGCCCTTTCTCACTGATGTTATAAGGAGTGTTTGAGTTCTGAGTGCAATTCAGGGCAGGTAATCAGAGCAGAGTTCATTTACAAATATAGTCTTAAAAGTACAGTAACAAAAATACTGAGAGATAAAAATAAAGATGTACATATAAATTATGTTGTTTTTGGTGCTTAAACTCACAAGTGTTATAAGGGAAAAAAATAAAATACAAGAATGTAGGATATGAGCTCTTTAATGTTGGTACTATATGTGCTGATTTTTAAAAGCTTTGTAGCATCTATACTTTTCTATTCATGCATCTATACATGCCAAGTGACTTGCTGTAATTTCAGTGATTTGTGTATTAAAACATGTAGAAAGAAGGTCTACTTGACTAATAACAATGAACAAAAATGCAAAAATAAAACTATTTTCTAGTCATCCTCAAAAGCTGACCATGCTGAACTTTTCATGCTTCGTGTTTACAGCGTGGAGAGCATGTCTTTGCGTTCTGTTGGGAATCCGGGGGACATCAGCTCTAGAATGATGGATGTAGAGAAGGCCAGAGATTGTATCATCCCGATGGGGTAAGACCTCTCTGGCACACTGGGGACAGTATGCTTTGATTGTCCAGTTAGCACTGAAAACCTTCACCTGCTGCTGTTTTTTGTATTGTTTTTGCAGAATCACCTCGGAGAATGTAGCAGAGCGGTTTGGCATCAGCAGAGAAAAGCAGGACTCCTTTGCTCTCAACTCTCAGCAGAAGTATGATCACTTTCTAAGCACTTCCCTCAGCCTTCATTCTCCTGATCATGATCATAAAAAGGGTGTAACTCTCAGACTTCAGAACAGTTCGATTCAGTTATGAGTTTATAAGAAACGATTCTGTTAGGGATGCACGAATGGAATTGGCCAGGATCGGAATCGGCAGATTTTTGCTCCAAACATGCGATCGGCAATCAACAGGTTTATTATATTGACTTTGGCCGATCTGTGTTGCAATTTTATGACTGTTTTTGAATGCGGCTGCTACACCTGTACCAAAACATAGTAGCATAGTTGTCAGTGACTCTTTGTGCTAAACAGCCAGTCACCTCTAGCTTTACATGGAGCACTTTATTTGATTTATCATTTTAATATGTAGCTGATTTACCTTTAAATACTTTAAAATGCCAGTTTGGCCTATTAAATAGTGAATAATTATTTACAGTGCCATTTTGGATAATAGAAAGTACTGAAAATATGCTACGGTCTTTCATGTCTGCATTTACCACACACAGTGTGAGCTTTGGGTTTAAGCTAATGAAATAAATAAATCAGCCACCAGCCAAATTGACTGTAAAGGCAAAAAACATTTCTGTGTTGAAAATATCCTGAGAAATTTATTTTGGCCAAGAAATGAGCACATACGTTATTGAAGTGATTAGAATGAATTACAGTATTTGAAAAACTATCCAGTTGAGTGGTCACCCTCAGACTGATGCACCACGATTTGAATGCTGCTGCTGCACAAATTTTATAAGAAATAATCGTGTTAATTATTAGATCGATGTATGGACTTTTTTTGTATTTTTCCTCCTGGACAGGGCGGCTGTGGCTCAGAAACGGGGCCTGTTTCAGCAGGAGATTGTTCCAGTCACCACAAAATTCGTGGATGAGAACGGAGTTGAACGCACCATCACGGTAACCAAGGACGACGGCATCCGGCCGGGCACCACGCTGGAGGGTCTGGCCAAACTGCGCCCAGCCTTCAAGGAGGACGGCAGCACCACAGCAGGTGTGCATGTAAATGCTTTAAGGGGAATTCCACCAATTTTTGAAAATTTCTGCATAATTTAATTGTTGAGATTAAGCAAAGTCATTCAGAGTGGTTTGATGTGAAATGGTTCACTGTAGAGAAACTTACTAAATTCTTTACAGTGGTGGTGATAGGAACCAAGGGTTTCGATGTCTGTAACTCAGATATAGCCATTTATTTACTATCCAAAACAAACAATAAACCTGTGTGTCTTTTGAGTTTATATGTAATGTTGATGATGGTATGGTATATAATAGTGTTAAATCTGAAATAATACGTTTTCTTTAGGCCTTACAATGCTCTACATGTACTTTCCACCATAAATATATTCCAAATAAAACATTTGTTTAGGCCAAAAGTTTATCTCAAAGCTATCAGCATATACTTGACCATTTCTTGTAATAACTTTCTGTAAGGGAGCTTTTAAAGGCATGAAATGCTTCAGACATCACCACTATGAACAATTCTGACTCAATTCTGAGTAAGTTTATCTAGAATGGAGCATTTCACATCAGACCACTCTGGGGTAGTTTGTTTATGTCTTCACCATTTAATTATACAGACATTTTGAAACATGGCATTGGTTCAGCCCTTCATTGCATGAATTTAGAAATATTACATAAACTGGGGGAGATACTTAGCATTTTGTTGCCACATGGCAACAGCATGCAACAGTGGGAAATACACCACTTTATATATAAAGCTGTTACATTCTAAAAATAAGAGAAAATAATAAATTTTGTAGTATTTCACTATTAGAGAAACAATTAAAAGCTTAGGCAGGAAAAGTTCAGTGTTACTGAACCACCATAGTTATCTTACCATTATTGATATTGTTTGGCAGTCTTAATAGCTTCAGTTGCCCAAATACACCTACGTTATCAGACATGCATTATTATTCTTGATGTATAGCTGGTAGTTTGTTTAGCAGAGTAATGCATGTTTGCTTGTGTGTTTGGACCAATTAAAGATCAGTAATGTCTGTGTCTGTAGGTAATGCCAGTCAGGTGAGTGATGGAGCAGCAGCTGTTCTGGTGGGCCGCAGATCTACAGTGGAGGCTCTTGGTCTGCCTGTGCTTGGGGTCCTGAGAGCCAGTGCTGTGGTGGGCGTACCCCCAGATGTGATGGGTATTGGCCCCGCCTACGCAATTCCAGCAGCCCTTGAGCAAGCAGGTAGGGTGGCACGCTGCTGCTTCCCATCCTGGGATCTTGATGTTGTAGACTACAGTTATGTCCTGTATAGACCTACAACTAACAACTATATCTCTATTTCTCTCTTACAGGTTTGACTGTTGATGATATTGATGTCTTTGAGATCAATGAGGCCTTTGCTAGTCAGGTGGGTTGGAAATAGTCAGGCCTATACAGAGCTTATCGGTCACATCTTTATTCTTCACAAAAACAAACATATATGTTTTACTGTAGGCAGTATACTGTGTTGAGAAACTTGGCATTCCACTGAACAAAGTGAACCCCAACGGTGGTGCCATCGCTCTGGGACATCCACTGGGCTGCACAGGAGCCCGTCAGGTTGTGACCCTGCTCAACGAGCTCAAACGCAGGCGAAAGAGGTGAATACCCTGCTCTGGCTTTAGAACTAAAGACTGTTTATTAGGTCTACCAGTTAAGCAATCTTTGTATCTTTTTGCCAGGAGTTCCTGGAGTCTAGAAACATAATAATTCCAATAATTCCAAAGTTGACTGTAGGATAATTTTTTAAAAAGTTGTTGAAAGAACAAGCAGGACAAGTTCTCAGTCATGGAGAATGACCAGCTTCCCTTGTAAAGAACCACATAAGAATTCAAATGGTTCATTGAGTTGTCATGGTTCTCTCGCAACCACTGTTTTTACTAAAGAACTCTTGAGGTGAACCCCCTTGTTTAAGAGCTTATAACACTATTTTCAGATACATATTGTGGAATAATTTATGTTTATTCAGTGTCTGAAGTAAATATCTGGTTTGTTATTTCAGAGCGTATGGTGTGGTGTCCATGTGCATTGGAACTGGGATGGGAGCAGCTGCAGTGTTTGAGTATCCTGGACAGTGAGGAGGATTACAGCTCAGACAGCCATGCTGTGGATCTTCAGATGAAGCACGCTGATTCTGTCATGATCAAGATGAACATGAAGATAATGACTAACTCTAATTGAACACTAATATAAGGATACAGATCCTGGTCAGAGAATACTGTAGACTGAATCAAGGATTTTAAAGGTATGACTTAGTCTCTAAATCAAAGGTAATGAGCAGGTAAAGCTTAAGAAACCTTTAGATAAAGGCAGCTGAAGCCTGTGATGCTTAAGCTCATTTGTAGACGTTAATCTGAATGTGCCTTGTTTCTTTTATAAAAACAACTGGTCACAGAGATCGTAAAATACATTTGTTCACCATAAAGGTTCAGTATACTGCTGAAGGTGATGCTGAAACGTGTTGAGCCTCTGTTTCCTGATACGTTTCATCATCATCGTTTTACTGTGGCCTCAAATGTCATTTTTTGCACATGATCCTGCGGTTACTCAGTTCGTGTCTGTAAATAAGCAAGCAAGTTCTCACAGCAGACTTCAACAGATTGGGCCACAGGTTCCTCCCCCTGGTCCTGGAGGACCCCCAGCCCTGCACATTTTAGTGTTTTCCCTGTTCCCAGCTCACCCCCTTCAAGTCATAAAGGGCTTGTTAATGAACAGATTAGTTGGATCAGGTGTGTTGAGAGCAGGGGAAACATTAAAATGTGCAGTGTTCTCCAGGACCAGGGTTGAGAACCACTGGATTAGCCAATGTATTAAAAGTACAAAAATCTGACACTTTATTTACTAGCCCTGAAATAGCACAGAGGCCAATTGTGCAACACAATGAACAGAACACTGAATAAAATGGGAGTTTATTTGCAGATGTATGTAAAAAGATTCCATTTCCAAGTTTAGATTGTGCCTTCAACCTATGGTGATAGTATGAGGGAGGAAGACTGATCGAAATAGGAAAGAGAACTTGGGCTGGAGTTCTGGGCGGCTTCTGCTTGGAGCTAGAAGGCCATGCAGTCCTTCTGGATGTTGGTATCACTGATAGATAGGAAGACAGGACTGAGGAACAGGGAGGAGATGGGTTGGTGGGTGGAATAGTGGAAACTTTACAGGAAATGGAAGGGAGATATGGGAATTTATTGGGCTTTAGTCTGGAAGGAGGCGGGGTTTCATGCATGGTCGACTGACCAGATTTCAGCTCTTCTATTAAAAGTGCTCATGATTCTGTGCTTTTCTGTTATGATAAAAGTTAATGTAAAATGGTCCATAGAGTGCAAATTCAGAGACTGGACAAAGGAATTGTTGATATGGAGTTAGCATAACAATGATCAGTTCATATCTCTGTTTTTGTTTTTCATCATCTCTCCTTTGATCTGTCCTTTGATCAGACTTCTCTTAAAGAGAATTCACTGTTAGCTGTTTTTTGTGATTTATGGCAAGTTAAACAGACAAATGCCTTCTTTCTACAGCTCTTAATGTCTTTGACCTTTGATTTGTCACATAAAAAGAGAAAAATCTTTTTATAAATGAGAATGATGTATTTTAATTACATAAATAACAATACAAATGAAGTCCAGTGTTTTCTCAGCTGTCTGGTGTCATGGATACATATCTCTCATCGAAGGACCCTCTCCCCTGAACCTGCAGAGTGAGGGGGGTCTCTCCAAGAATGCCTTGCACAGTGACTGTACCCTGGAATGACCTCTGGTCACTGTGGAAGACAAACACTGTTAGCAGATCTTCCCTACTGGTAGTAGTTACCAGCAAGTAAGCCCAGAGTATTAATTCACTTTATTAAATGTGCATTGGAATTAGGGCTGGGCGCTATGACAGGATGTTTTAAACTATGTCACAGTATGCTTTTCTAATTATACCATGGCTATAAGCAGTACTTCAAAAATACAACTTCATGGATCATAAAAATAGAGCCTGTAAACGACAACAACCAGAGGATCTGCACACAAAGTAACTGCATAAACTACATTCCTTTATTTTTAGCAGTTGTTTCATTTTCATCCCATGCCCTCAAAGCAATATGTGTTTTATTAGCCTTTTTATGTGGCACCACTGTTTTGTGTGCTCTAGCTTGTTCTCAAAAGGGGTTGGACAAAGGATTAGCGATGTTCCTCTTGGACAGGTATGTAAACACAATACATATAAAGAGTTTGAATGGCCAACAAAATAAATCAAGTAGATAAATCTTTATCACTGACTTATATATATATATATATATATATAATATATATATATATTCTGCATATATTGTTCTGTACAAAGTTGAATGTGCTGACAACAAAATCAAACAAAAATAATCAATGGAAATCAAATTTATTAACCAATGGAGGCCTGGATTTGGAGTCACACACAAAATTAAAGTGGAAAAACACACTACAGGCTGATCCGACTTTGATGTAATGTCCTTAAAACAAGTCAAAATGAGGCTCAGTATTGTGTGTGGCCTCCACATGCCTGTATGACCTCCCTACAACGCCTGGGCATGCTCCTGATGAGGTGGCGGATGGTCTCCTGAAGGATCTCCTCCCAGACCTGGACTAAAGCATCCGCCAACTCCTGGACAGTCTGTGGTGCAACGTGACGTTGGTGGATGGAGCGAGACATGATGTCCCAGATGTGCTCAATCAGATTCACGTCTGGGGAACGGGCGGGCCAGTCCATAGCTTCAATGCCTTCATCTTGCAGGAACTGCTGACACACTCCAGCCACATGAGGTCTAGCATTGTCCTGCATTAGGAGGAACCCAGGGCCAACCGCACCAGCATATGGTCTCACAAAGGGTCTGAGGATCTCATCTCGGTACCTAACGGCAGTCAGGCTACCTCTGGCGAGCACATGGAGGGCTGTGCGGCCCTCCAAAGAAATGCCACCCCACACCATTACTGACCCACTGCCAAACCGGTCATGCTGAAGGATGTTGCAGGCAGCAGATCGCTCTCCACGGCGTCTCCAGACTCTGTCACGTCTGTCACATGTGCTCAGTGTGAACCTGCTTTCATCTGTGAAGAGCACAGGGCGCCAGTGGTAAATTTGCCAATCCTGGTGTTCTCTGGCAAATGCCAAGCGTCCTGCATGGTGTTGGGCTGTGAGCACAACCCCCATCTGTGGACGTCGGGCCCTCATACCATCCTCATGGAGTCGGTTTCTAACCGTTTGTGCAGACACATGCACATTTGTGGCCTGCTGGAGATCATTTTGCAGGGCTCTGGCAGTGCTCCTCCTGATCCTCCTTGCACAAGGGCGGAGGTAGCGGTCCTGCTGCTGGGTTGTTGCCCTCCTACGGCCTCCTCCATGTCTCCTGGTGTACTGGCCTGTCTCCTGGTAGCGCCTCCAGGCCCTGGACACTACGCTGACAGACACAGCAAACCTTCTTGCCACAGCTCGCATTGATGTGCCATCCTGGATGAGCTGCACTACCTGAGCCACTTTTGTGGGTTGTAGAGTCCGTCTCATGCTACCACGAGTGTGAAAGCACCACCAACATTCAAAAGTGACCAAAAGATCAGCCAGAAAGCATAGGTACTGAGAAGTGGTCTGTGGTCCCCACCTGCAGAACCACTCCTTTATTGAGTGTGTCTTGCTAATCGCCAATGATTTCCACCTGTTGTCTATTCCCATTTGCACAACAGCATGTGAAATTGATTGTCAATCAGTGTTGCTTCCTAAGTGGACAGTTTGATTTCACAGAAGTTTGATTTACTTGGAGTTATATTGTGTTGTTTAAGTGTTCCCTTTATTTTTTTGAGCAGTGTATATATATATATATATATATATATATATATTATATATAATATAATATAAAATACTGCATCAGACTCCAGTGTAGGTTATAAAGCAAACCCATTCTACCCTTATTGCTAATGTAGAGGTGATATTTGCTTCATTACAGCTCATTACAAAGAGAAACAGGACACTTTTGACCATTCTCGAGCAGCAAATCGATATTAACCAAACGCCATGTGTTTATAGGCTTGTAACTTTACAATCCCCTCGGACAAAAGAGACATGGGATGCCCGCTCGTGCTAAATGCCAGTGCCACACAAGCAACGGAGTTGGAGAGTACTTGGATAGCATAATTAGATGAAAAATCTCATCATAATTTACCAAGTAGAATAATCAACACTATGTCTTTTAGCTAGATTCCTGAAAGCAAGCATGGACACCCTGAGATAAAATACCCTGACGGCTGTAACATTCACTGTTCTGTGAAACTGTATCATGAGCTATAGTGTGCTGTATTGAGATGTAGGCTATGTCGAGTATTTTGCATATTGGCATAATGCCATACTTTTATTATCTATATCTAAATATGAAGAAAGGCATTATACAGCCTACCTCATCAGCAGGAAGTAAAGTCATGACAATGTTTGGTAATGCTGGCAAACTCTAAATGGGCACTGTCGATTCTACGGGCGTGCTTTGTGTTGATGGGTGGGAGTGGGAGGCGGATCCAAAAAGTAAAAAAGGTTAGAGGTTTGCATATCTTCAATTATGAGTCATGCACCTTTAATAATATAGGACTTGTACCTGGCCTTGAAGCTGATCTCCAGTGCTTGTCTACAGGAGGAGACAGGATATTCCAGTGGCTTTAAAAGCCCACACTCTGGACTAACTCTGAACACTTCGCTCTGCTCCTCAGCCTCTACACAACAACAACAACAACAACAATAAAAAAGCAATTCCAAATAAACTTCTCCAAAGTTTTGATATGGTACATAAAATACTGAATTTTTTCTGACTTTTTATATCTATTCTAAAAGTTGTATTGTTGCAATTATTTGCGTACCTATAAATGCAGTCCAGTAGCTGCTGGAGCCCCCACGGTTGTAGAAGTGCACTTCTTTGACCCTGGTCTGACCAACAAAGCAGGTGCCAAAGTCTATGCTGTCACAGGAAAGGTGCAGCGTGGGTAGTGACAGGTGGGCACATAAGGGTATAGTCTAAAAACAATCAGAACACTGATTTAGATCTTTAAGCATGATAAATAATAAAACTTCTGAAATGTCGAACAAGACCTGAGTTGTAGTAATTTATAACAGATTGTTTGTAGTGAGTATTTTCACCAATAAGGCAGGTTCAGGGCCCAGAAGTCTCTCAACTAAAGAGATTTTGTAAGAATTAGAGTTTACATAAAACTGGTGTTTTCTATATACAATACAAACAAATACAATACAGATAACAACACTACATATCCATATTTGTAGACACTGCACTGCACCAGAGCATCCCAATCTATTAGAATGCTTTTCTATGAAGATTAAAAAAGCTGTGCAATCAGCAACCAGTGCACTTAAAGTAGCTCAAATGACTAATTAGAAGTGATGTCTGCAAATTTTGAGACATATAATGTACAATACATAACCACAGACAACATCACAAAATATACTGTACGTCCAGTATGTAAACTAAATGAACAGGGTATTTCCAACAACACAGATCAGATGGTATATGACTGTAACAGGTGCTAATATGCGAGGACTCCACTAGATTAATGAATAAGGCTGCATTACCTGCACAGTATTGTTGCTATACTGGATGGTGAGACATTCCTCAAAGCGCAGTCTCTTTTCTCCTCTCTCACTGCACAGCTCCGTCACAGAGAGTGAGACATCCTCCCACGGCTGACTCTGACAGGTCAGGAGGGATGCTGTAAGGTGAAAGGCCACCTTTACCTGCCAAAACGACCATACCAGAGCATTTAATCTTTAATTTAGTCTTTATTTAGGGCTGATAAAACCGAGGTGCTGGAGTGCATGTATGCGTAGCTAGTAGGTTCTACCATTTCCAATCTGACTTCAGAAATTCTTCATAAGTCATGATTATTGATCAGGGACCTTCAGTGAACATATTTTTCCAGTTTTGTACAGATCCACCTTTTGACCTTGGTATTCTAAGCTGCAGACTTTGAACAGATAAGTCAAAATTACAGACAAGCAGTACGATTTCTGACATAACTTGTGAAATTGTGAAGCGGACTGAATCAAATGAGATCTATTATTAGATCTATTAACAGTAGGAAAGAAAAATGATTTTAGGTCTTATTGTGCACTGTAGTGCCCCCTGAAGGCCAATCTGGGTCAAATATTGCATGCCTTTGAATCTGAATCTGCTTGAATTTTGAGACGCTTTGAGAGTTTTAGTAATTTAATTCAGAATTGCCACAGCCACAATTATTAATTAATATGTGGCAACTATGTGGACAAAAAAAGTCAGCATTTTTAAGATAATTACTTACCTCTAGATTCCTTACATTATTTCATTTGAAACGATTGGCTCAAAATCTTAAGATTAATTTAAATTGGGCTGTTTTTAATTAAGAAACTTTACAATATAATAAATATAATACATTTTATAAAAACACTTGTAATTGCTAACTTGTAGTTATTAGGCTCACTAATGAATAAATAGTGTATCAGGTCCTCAAATGAAATAATGTATATGATATGGAAAAGTGAGTAGCGTCTCCTAGTGGTCAATTCTTTTTAAAACTTCATAGTTTATTATTATAATTATCAGTTTATCCTGAAAAACTCAAAGATGCAGCACACAAAATCTTAGCTTGA